TTCCAAGTCATTATTATTGGATTATGATCAGCCCATGTGCTCATGTCTATGTCTATCTTGAATGTTTTGAGTATTAGCTCTGTTGACATCCACATTGTATCTATTCTTGACCAAGACGTTGTCTACTGTTTGAGTAGAAAGTATATTGTCTTTCTTTCAGGTGTCTTATTCTCCAAACATCTTGCAAATTTAATTCTTCCGCCATTGTGAACAATGTTTTGGGTAGGGTTTTCTTCGGCTTCTTGTTCATCTTTATGGATTTATGGTCGATTCCATTATTTACAATTGCATTAAAATCTCCTAGTATACATATATCTTCATATTCATATTGTATTATCTTTTTGTATAGTTTGCCAAAAAATTCTTCTTGTTTATCATTTGGGGGCGTATATTGCCATTAATAATAGCTTTCTCAAATTCATTATTATCTCCACCATCAGTATTCTCCCCTCCCCACCTTCAAAAATTATATTTGATTGAATTGTCTTTCTAATGTATAGTGCTATTCCCTTTTAACTTTGGTCAGCCAGAGTTGTGTATAAATTACCCAGTTTTACCTGTTCCAAAAATTTCGTGTTTCCTTCTAATATGTATTTCTTGTAAGCATATAATGTCCAGTTTCATTTTCTCTAATTTGTTGAATATTATTCTTCTTTTTATTGTGGAGTTTAGTCCGTTTATATTTATTGAGTTTACTTTTATTTTGTCCTCCATGTCATTGGTTTAGTTGATGTGGTCATTCTTAGCTCCCACTGCTCCTTTGTCTCTTTGGTCCTTGCTCCTTCTCTTAGCACTTTCTCTTCCTGTTCTTTCTCCATCTTCCTTTGATCTTTCCCCTTAGCTTCCTAGCATTTGGCTCCTCCCTCTTCTCTTACCAGCATTCCCTCCTGTGCTACTATATGTTGTTCATAAAATAATTCTGCTTTCTCTAATGTATCTAATTTGTTCCTTTGTGCTTGCCAGTTTACCAAAATCCCTTCTGGAACCAGCCATCTACCATAAAACTCACCCTTTCTTAATCAGACTCCTAGTCAGGAAGTAGTATTCTTCTCTTATTTCTCTGACCTTTCTTGGAATTTGCTTCAATACCACTATCTCTCTAGATTTATATTTAATTGGGATTTCTTGTTGCTTTCAATATTTCATTTTTTAGAGTTTTTTTTAAAATAAACCTTACATGTACCTCTCTGGGCAGATTCTCATTGCATATCTTGTATATACTCTAAATATCTCATCCATTCCATCTAAAATATATTCCTTACTCATTTCTGTGATACCTGAGAGAATATCTGCAATCTTCTCTGCTAAATTCTGTTTTTCTCCTCTTCAATGTTCTGAAATCTTAGGTAAAATTCGGATCATTCCATTTCCCAGAATATGGTGGATTCATCTTGCTTTTTATCAATTGTTATCAATCTAGAATCTATCTCCTCCACTTTTTTCTGTGTTATTTCTGATCTTTCTTCCACCTTCTGCAGTCTCTGCTCATTTTCCCCCATCATTTCCGTGACTTCTTTCAATTCATCTTCCACCTTGTCCACTTTCTCTTCTACTTTGTTTACTTGTTCCTTAAGATCTGCGTGTATGACTTACAACATACTTTTAAACTCCAAGGTAGCTTTATCTTAGTTGCGTTGGTATGCTTGTTACTTTCTGTGTCGCTGAAACAGGTGGTGTAGCTGTTGCAGTTGCATATGATGTTATTCTCCTAGTAGGTGGAGACATAATCCGTCTGTGTCTACAAGCATTAAAGACACGCCCACGAATCTCCTCCTACCCAGCTTAGACTCAGTCGATCCTTCAATTAGCTGTGTCTGTGTTTCTCTCCTAATTAATTCGTTCTTAATCTAACTTCCTGCAAAAAACTTCTAAATTGCTTTAATTGGCTTCTTTCTTCGAATTTAACTCATTTGGTTTTGTATTTGACTGATTGGGGGGGTCGTAGCCCTTTGGGGGCTGCAGGCCTTCCCTATCGCGCTTGCCATCGTGAAGAGATTCAGCGGTGAGCCTACAAGGTTTTCCTCAGGCTCTAACACTCTTATTGGATTCTTGTTCCCATCAACTCAGTTAACATGGCTATAGGAATGATGGAAACTTTCCACACAGTTTTCCACATAGATTGGCAGTATGAAAAATTAGGATTTTATATAGATCCTGGCCTAATTTCAAAAGTTTCTGTTTTGAAGGAAGAAATGCAATATTTTATAAAAGGAATATATTTTCTAAAGGATTGATTCAGCTTCTGGCAAAAACAAGCTGTCCAATTTAATGAGTCTCTTCAAAAAGAATAATGGTGGTCCTATGCATGGCATGAAGCTTTAGAGAAACTATTAGTCTCTGTGGGAATATGACCATAGACAGTAACAATTGCCCATTTAATGTTACGTGCAAATAATTTGATTTTTGCATTTTCTTTATCTTATATGTTTAATGTAACCTAACCATTTTGATACCAAGCAACAATTATCTGGTTCTATGCTGGACATTAAACTGCTTATCAAATTGACTATTCATCTTCATGGGAGTGAATCTCAGGCAAATTTTGCTTAATATAATCTTAATCTATGGTTTGTAAAAACTAAAGTGATGTGAGCTAATAATCCCTGCTTTCAAAATTAATAAGATGTCACTGAATTTGCTTAAATTAAAAACTTATGAAAATATGTGAGAATCTATATTCGGAACAGTATCTCAAGTTTCAAATGTAATATGAGCAGCAATTAAGAGTTAACTGATAATGTATTTTAGTTAATGTATTCATAACCTAACAGTACAATTAATGTATATATTATAAAATTAAGATTTATCTGACTATTTTTATATTCCTGAATTGCAAGGCATTTGTTTAAAATAGACAAAAAAATTTGTTAGAAGGTTTAACATCAGTTTGGTTTAAGCAGGAGTTTGTTAAATATCCATCCATTTATAGTGAAATATTTAATTTTTGATAGTAAAGCTCTGTTTGCATGATGGAGCTATGTAAATAAAGTTTCAGTGATGGTTCACAATATTAAAGAATTATGGGTCAATAAACTTTAAATTGTGTAAATTAAATAAGTAAAACTGGCATGTATAAATTGAACTAAACATTATACTTTAAGTTAAATTTCAATGCTAGGTTCTAAACCTAAAATAGATAACATTGCTTTGTTAATTGTGATTTGTACAGAAGACATTGTTATATCCTGCTTGGTTAAGTAGCATTAAATAAAGGCTGATGAGCCATTCTTTTTTTTTTCCTTTTTTTTAATCTCACAATTTTTTTTTATTTTTATTTTTCATTTTCATACACTCACATGTATACTGTACATAGCCAACACCATACAGCATTAAACAATAATTGCATCAAT